TCAGAACTCCTCGTGCACGCTGCGCGCGTAGTCCACCAGCTTGCTGCCGGTGAAGAACTCGCTGTACTTGAGCACCTCCTCGGGCTCCAGGTGGTGGTTCTGGTTCTCGTCGGCGACCGCGATCATCTGCTTGGCCTCGTTCAGGGCGTTGTACTCGTTCATGGGGTCCATGTAGCTCTGCGGGCGAGCGGGGCACAGGTCAGCCTCCGCCTTTCCCCCTCCCAGTGCCAGCCGCCCGGGAGGCCCTCCCGGCTCCGCTCAGGGAAGGAACAGCTGGCCCGAGCTCCGCGGTCATCCACACGAAGTGGCTATTTAAGGTGCCTGCTGGCTGCAGCGGGAGTGTGGGCATGTTCTGGAAGGTTCCCGAAGGGAGGCGGCACAAATGAGAAGGGCACGGGGCAGGGAGAAGCCGGGGGCCCTGGGAGGCCTGTCCGTGGCCGGCAGGGGTCACGGGGTACAGGGGCTACACCGGCCTGAACCCCAGTTCTGAAGGATCCCTAACCTGGGCCGGGCTCACTGGCTGTTGCCAGGGATCACAGGATTCTACATAAAAACAAGATGACTCATTCAGCAGTGGAGACAAACAAGCCTACACATGATACCAGTGAAAACGCTTCAAAGGAAGGTGGTAAATTCCAGCCATGTGGCACAGGCCGCCCCGCCCACCTGCACCTGCCTCCAAGTTGGGCCCAGCAGGAGCTTCCCCTTGTGGTCCCGTTAAAAAGGGGCCGTGAGAACCTGAGGATGGAGCCCGGCCAGGCTCGCCTGTCTCTGATCCATTTGAACCTAAACGTCAACCATGGCCACGCGGTCTGGTGGACGCCACTGAGCAAACGCCCCAGTGACCAGCCCAGGGGGAGTTTCAGGCTGGACACCAGCATGGCTTCCTGTCTCAGGCCCAGATCCGCCGGCCCCTCCGCACACAGTGCCTCGCAGGGCTGGCTCCGGGACGCGGCTGCACCAGGGCTCACCTCCAGCTCCTCTGCCGTCACGATGCCGTCGTGGTTGGAGTCAATGAGCTCCTCAAACTCCTTTTTTCTGTCTTTCACCCAGTTGTCGTCAATGTCCTGGCCCTGCTGGTTCTCCACGGTGCCCACGGGCAGGGAGACGAACTCCGGCAGAGACAGCTGCTTGTCACCGTCCTGGTCTGTGAGACGGGAATGGATCAGCCCACACCCAGGCTGGGGCTCCCACAGGACCTTACCCGACTTCTCGGCGATGCCCGGCCCCTGCCGTTGGTCCCCGGGCCCTGGCGCGCCAGCCAGGCTGGACCCAGCCTCACCCAGGTCCCGGACGATCTCCTTCACCATGAACCTGAGCATCCCCCGGCTGTGCTCGGGGTGGAGGAACGACAGGAACTCCTCCTCTGTCAGCAGCAGGTCCGCGGGGGGGCTGTCTGCCTGGTACCAGCGGTCCTTCAGGTTCTCCAGGACTTCCTGTGCTGAGAGGGGCGCAGCCTGTGGGCATCGAGGCAGACAGACGCCGGCACGCAAATCCAGAAAGCTCCGAGAGGTGCTGCCTGAACTTGAGGGACATAGCCGCCCACGAGACCGGGGCCCCACCCTCCAGGATTCACAGGTCCCCCGGACATGGCCCAGACGACCAAGACACAGCCTGGACCCCCCCAAGACATAACCCAGAGCCCCCCACAGGCCTGATCCCCAAAGACAAAACTTGGACCCCCCAAGATATAACCCAGGCCCCCCCCAAACACAGCCTGGACCCCCCACACAGCCTGGACCCCCTACCCTGGACCCCCGATACATGGATGGCCATGACTCCCCACGGACACAGCCCAGACTCCCAAGTCAGAATCTGGACCCCACACAGCCTGGACCCCCAAGACATGGCCTGGACCCCCCACACAGCCCAGACACCCCAAGACATGATCCAGAACCTTCCCATGACCCAGAATCCCCAGGACATAGCTCAGACCCCCTCATGCCCAGGACCCCTCAGGATGGGCCTGGGCCCCCCCACACACCCGCATCTGCCCCTCCGGAGGAGCCAATCACCCACACGCAGGCACCGCCCTGGCGCCGCAGGGCAAAGGACTCCCTGCCCTTTCCGTTTCCTTCATGTGTGACGTCACAGGGAGGAAAACACAGTTTCTAGAAATGACTGAGACAGGGGCTGAGCAGAGCCTCCCGGCTGGGACACAGTGCTGCCTCTGGGTGTGTGGCCCCCGCGCTCCCGCTGTGCCCTCCCAGCCCTGACGACCCCCTCACTCCGAGGTCCCCACGCATCCCAAGGGCCCCATGCCACCCTCAGCCCGGGCCTGTCTCGGTCTCCAGGGCAGAATCACAACCTCCTGCCCCATCTTGGGGCTCGCTGTGGTCAGTGGCCAAGTCCAGTGTTGAGGCTCAGCCCCTGCAAGTGAGGCCCGACTCTGCCCTGGCCGCAGCCTCTGCCACAAACGCAGCAGCCTCTGGGTCACAGTTACTGCAGGAGGATGAGGCCCAGCTGCCGTCTCCTCTTATCCCTTTCTGAACAACCTCCTCCTACACGACCAGTTCACTTAAAGGAAGACAGGAGTGACGGGGCTGCGGGTCCTGGGGCACCCCTCCCTGTCTGCTCCACTGCAGCTCCTGTGAGGGATGGACGGGGCCGAACTGAGACTCACTCAGGACAGGCACAGACGCCCCAGACAGGCCGGCTGAGAGCTGCCTTCTCCAGCACAGGATTCTCACAGCCGCCGCCCAGCCCCAACCTCAGACCCAGAGAGATGTAGCAACGGAGGCAGGGGACAGGGGCGATGCCCGCCTGCCACGCCTTCACCGCAGTCCCCAGAATCAGGTCTGCAGCACGAGAACAGCAGCCCCAGGACTCATGCCATGGCCCTCACAGGAGCCATGCAGGGAGGGGTCGGAGGTCGCTGGAGCAACGCCTACCAGTGCTTCCCAGGCCCTCCCTCCAGGACCCGGCCGCTGCTCTTCCCGAGCCAGAAGCCAAATACCCGAAGGGGTGGGGGGTCCTAAGCACCCCGAGGTCAGGGAGACCAAGACGGATCAGACACGGCTGGGCAGGGAACGGCACCTCAGCACACACAGGGACCTCCAGAACACAGAGTGAATTCTACATACACCTCTGCTAAGCCCCAAAGGTAGACGAAGGCTTCACAGGGATGTCACAGAGCTCTAGGTCCAGGTGGGACATGTCCTGGGCAGAAAATGGCACCAAGGACAGACAGACACAATCGGAGTTAGGGCGCGGGCAAACACAAGGGCCTCCCACCACAGCACATCGCCAGCAGGCTGGACTTGCTGTGCAAAAGCTCACCAACGGGACGAAGGTTAAAGGCACCGGCAGGACAGCAGGGAACGCGGGACCCGGGGTGGAGGCACAAACCGTGTGCGGTGAGGAAAACGTAAACCACTCTTTCGGAAAGGAAATAATAACATCCAATTTGGCCAGGTACTGGGATTTGTGCCTGTAATCCCAGCACGCTGAGAGGCTGAGGCCAGAGTTCGATACCAGCCTGGGCAACATAGGGAGATCCTCTTATTTTTAGTTTAGTTTTTTTTTTTTCAGACGGAGTCTCGCTCTGTCACCCAGGCTGGAGCGCAGTGGCCGGATCTCAGCTCACTGCAAGCTCCGCCTCCCGGGTTCACGCCATTCTCCCGCCTCAGCCTCCCGAGTAGCTGGGACTACAGGCGCCCGCCACCACGCCTGGCTAATTTTTTGTATTTTTTAGTAGAGACAGGGTTTCACCGTGTTAGCCAGGATGGTCTCCATCTCCTGACCTCGTGATCTGCCCGCCTTGACCTCCCAAAGTGCTGGGATTATAGGCGTGTGCCAATGCGCCCGGCGTTTTTTAGTTTTTTTAACGTCCAATTGGTAAAATTTAGAAAGGACACGACCGAACTCCAGAGGAGAGTACGTGAACTGGGAGAAGGGCAGGCAGAGCCAACAGGCTCAAAAGTCTCCACATCATTCTAGAAGGTCAAGGCCAGGCACAGGAGCTCACGCCTGCAACTCACGCCAGGACGGGGGGAGGCCGAAGCGGGCGGGTCACTTGAACCCTCTCAAACCCCAAGAGTTTGACACCTGCCTAAGGCAACATGAGGAGATCTTGTGTCTACAAAATATATATTTTTGCATCAGTGGGGCATGGTGGCACGCACTGGTGGTCCCAGTTACTCAGGAGGCCGCCCCGCCATGGGGGCTGGTCACATGATACGGGCTGTTCCTGGCAGGAACGTATCTTACACCTTTACTTTTTTTATTCTCCGAGGAGGATAGATTGAGTCCAGGATGTGGAGGCTGCAGAGAGCCAAGATTGCACCAGTGCACTCCAGCCTGGACAACAGTGAGACCCTCTCTCTCAAACAATAAAAAATTAAAAATTAAAAAAAAAAAGGTTAAGACCAGGCGCAGTGGCTCACGCCGATCACTCTGGGAGGCTGTGGTGGGCGGATCACTTGAGTCCAGGAGTTTCAGGCCAACCTGGCCAACAGAGCAAAATCTGTCCATACAAAAAATACAAAAATTAGCCTGGCATGGTGACAGTGACTGAGGTCCCAGCCACCGGGAAGGCTGAGGTGGGAGGATCGCCTTGCGCCCGGGAAGGTACAGGGTAGGCAGCAGAGTGAGACCGTCTCATGAAAAAAGAAATAAATTAAGAGGAGGTTTGCCTTCAGACTCTGGTGAGGAAATGTGTGTTACTGATAGGTTGAGTAGACACAACAAATAAAGGTGTAAGATATGCCCAGCCTGCCAGGAGCGGCCCCGTCTATCACGTGACCAGCCCCGTAAACAACACGGCTCCCTGCAGGGCAGCAGAGACGCCACCCCAGGAAGCCGAGACGCGATGGAACAGGCGTCGCCGCACATTCTCCACGAAGCCCAAACCAGACAACAGGCACAACCGGGAAGGGCACGCAGAGCCCCAGGGTGGCAGCAACGCCACAGTACCCGCTCAGCTGTGTCTCACAACTGAGCCAGCAGGGGCTTCTGCCCGGACAGCGCTCCCAGACCTGCCCCGTGCAGGGTGGCCTGGCTCTCCCCTCGCCTGGCCTTAGCCAGGGTGCCGGGCCCCACCTGGCCCCACCCTCTTCACACAGAGGCACCAGCTCAGACCGGCCCAGGGCTGAGGTTGCCCTGCTGGCCAACAGCCACACCCCAGACCCAAGGAAGAGCCTCCCCCTGGGACCTGACCACTCTCTGGTGACCACCTGACGGCCACACAGATGTCTCCAGCAGATCCAAACCACAGGGCCAAGCCCTCAGGCACAGGCTGTGCCCTCTCCCTGGGAAACTCTGCCTCAGGTGGCCTTCAGAGTATGGGGCAGGCCCCACCCCAGATGCACAGCCTCGGATTCTCTGCAGGACCCAACTGAATAACGGCCGTGAAGGTGCCGTGACCAGCAGAGTTGAGAGCCGCCCGGGCACAGCTCACACACTCCCCACCAAACCCCTGGGTGGTGCCTGAGTTGGCAATGGCCTCATCCACTTCCCTCCTGACAGCCACCACCACCCAGGTTGGGCCATACAGTTAGGACACGTGTGCACGAGCACATACAATGGGCGTGAGGGCACACTCACCTGCATGTACTCACGAGCACACACGAACGGCCACCCGGATGTACTCACAAGCACACCCACACATGCACGGCTCACTCGTACACATGACACGCACACACACCGCAGGTACTCACGAGCACACACTGCGCACTCGTACACACGACACACACGTACTCACGAGCACACATGCATGGCGCACTCGTACACACGACACACACGTACTCACGACACACACGTACTCACGAGCACACACGTACTCACGAGCACACATGCACGGCGCACTCGTACACACGACACACACGTACTCACGACACACGTATTCACGAGCACACACGTACTCACGAGCACACATGCACGGCGCACTCGTACACACGACACACACACACGCACACATGGGAGGCCTGAGACCTGTGGCAGGAGCCTGGCTGAGCACTCACTTTCCTCATCCACTTTGAGCTCCTCGTTGAGCCTGATGGCGTCGGCAACCTCCTTCTCGCTATGGCCTTTACTCGCCAAAAACTTCACCTTATACTCGTCCCATGACACGTGGCCTGGAAGAGCAGGTCACACCTGTCAGGATGTCTGACACTGAGCCGAACTTCTTCTTCCATTGAGATGGGGTATTGCTCTGCTGCCCGGGCTGGAGGCGGCAGGATGCCAGTGTCTGGAGCCCCAGGGCCCCAGCCAGCACCCCGCACCCGCCTCCTCACCTGTGAGGCCAGCTGGGAATGTCTGTGCCTCGGCACCACCAGGTGAAGGCCCCAAAGTCCTAAGAGGCACCTTCCATGGGCCACGCCCAGTGCTTGGCACACACGCCTTTGTCACCAAGATTCTGGCATCACGAACCCAGCTTTCAGCGCCCACCACACCTCGGGGTCTCCGGCTGATGCCTCCCCGCCGCCCATCCCTCAGAACTGGCCTGTCTGCCCTCCAGGCACCAGGCAAGGCCCATGGCCCTGCCCGCCCACCCCGGCCCGGCCGCAGTACCGTCCCCATCGGGGTCCACGGCACGGAAGTGTGTCTTGCTCTCCTCCATGGCCTCCTGGAAGTGCTCGGCCGTCTTCTCCATGATCCAGCGCTGCATCTCCTTGGCACTGATCTTCCGGTCGGTGTTCACGTCCACCCTGCAGGACAGCAGACGGGCAGGCGGCCATCAGACTGGGCCCCCAGACCCTCAATAGCCAGATGGACGCCGCCGGCCCAGTACTCCATGGCAGGGTGAACCTGCCACCGACGGTGACAGGCTCCACCGGACGACGCAAGAAACATCTGGGACGTGGGGGCCGGGGTGGGGGGGCCACGCCAGAGACACTGGGGAAGGTGGATGCCACGGTCCCCTCCCCAGGGGGATGCATGGACCCTCCCCCTCCGTCACACAGAATCACCACCAGACCCCCCTCTCCAACCACAGCTTCCGAAAGTCACACTCTTCACGTTTTATTTTTTGAGACGGAGTCGCACTCTGTCGCCCAGGCTGGAGTGCAATGGCACAATCTCGGCTCACTCCAAGTTCTACCTCCCGGGTTCAAGTGATTCTCCTGCCTCAGCCTCCCAAGTAGCTGGGATTACAGGGGCCCACCACCACGCTCGGCTAATTTTTGTATTTTTAGTAGAAATAGGGTTTCATCATGCTGGCCAGGCTGGTCTCAAACTCCCGACCTCAAATGATCCACCCACCTCAGCCTCCCAATGTGCTAACATTCCAGGTGTGGCCACCAGGCCCAGCCCATGTTTTATTTTAGATGCTTCACGTGTGGCTACAGAAAAACCTTCATACAGGCCGGACACAGTGGCCACACCTATAATCCCGGCACGCTGGGAGGCTGAGACGGCTGGATCACTTGAGCCCAGGAGTTCAAGACCAGCCTGGGCAACATAGGGAGACCCCACCTCTACAAAAAACAATTACAAAAATCTGACAGGTGCGATGGCGTGCACCTGTGGTCTCAGCTACTCAAGAGGGTGGGGCGGGAGGACCGCCTGAACCTGGGGCATGGAGGTTGCAGCGAACTGTGATAACACCACTGCACTCCAGCCTGGGCGGCACAGCAAGACCCTGACTCGAAACAAGACAAAACAAAACCCTTTATATAAACATCAAGTGATAAGATTGAGGAAAAAGAGCGTGTGGGGACTTAACATTGTGTCCAAAGACTTGGGAGACAGGGACACAGATTGAGGACACAGCGTCAGCACAGGCCAGGTCAGGAGGCCATAGGCCCCAGGACAAGTCACTTCCATCCCAGCTTCACAGAGCTCGGCTTTACCATCATGTCCTCGTGGAAGCCACAAGCACCTGCCCCTGCTGAGGCTGCACGTGTCCTGAGCTCACCTGTTGGAAACCTAACCCCAGGGCAACAGCGCTGGGAGGCAGGGCTTCCAGAGGTGCAAGGTCTCGAGACCCCGGCTGGTGCATTTGCTGGAGGCGTCCCTGAGAGTAGGGTGCCCTGGCCCCTTGCCCCTATGCTCCACTCAGGGGCAGCCGCGGCCACGTTACGAGGTGGCAAGCAGGCCCTCGTCAGGTGGGTGTGGCCTCTCGGACCTGGGCCAGGCCAGCTTCCATGGTGCACACACCACAGGCACAGCTCAGAGGCACTGGGCAGAGATCCCCACAGAAGGAGGCCAGGCCACCGCTCACACACATCCCTCCCTCAGCAGCCACGGCAGCCCAGAGGTGGATGGGCCTGGGAGGCACCCTCAGCTCCACAGTCCCCACAGTACATCGGCCGGGGAGGGCGCCGCCTGGATGGCCGTGTGGCAGGTGGGGCACCTGGGGAGCCTCGCGTGGACAGCAGCATCCCCGACTGCTCTGGCCACGCTCCACACGCGCCACAGATATGGACCACAAGCTCCACACACGCCACACGTGCCACAGACACAGGCCACATGCTCCACACAGAGCACATGCACCACAGACACGGGTCACACATGCCACATGTTCCACACACACCACAGACACGGGCCACATGCTCTACGTGCTCCACACGCGCCACAGACACCACGTGCTCCACATGCGCCACAGACATGGGTGCACACAAGCAGAACAAAAAGGTGGAAAGAACCACGTGGCGCAGGATTCCAGTCAAGATGCCGGCGAGGAGTCGCTCATCCAAACTCAGGTGCCTGAAGACACGGCTGCAGGGCGGTGCAGGTACGTGGACTGGCATGCACACATGCAGGTACACAGGCCAGTACCCGCGTGTACACAGCACACACACATGAACAGGGTTGGCAGCACGCAGACGTGACTGGGCTAGTGCACACGCATGTTATCGAGCTCTGACTCCTGAGAGGACAAGGGCAAGATGCCCCGTGCCCAGACCCTGGCTTCCAGCTCCAGCCACAGGAGCCAGGGCTCCCTGGAAAGGCGGCAGCTATCGCACTGCGGCAGGCGGCACAGAGGCAAGCCTAGAGCACCTCACAGTGCCAGGAGGCGGGAAGTAAAGCCTGGAGCATCTCATGGTGCTGGGAAGTGGGAAGGAAAGTGAAGCTCAAAAGCCCCTAGGACAGGGCACCTCCCCTCTGGGTGTTCTTTCCAAAAACCCTCAACACTGTACAGTCAGGAGGAGACACATCCCACCGAGGGACATTCTAAAACCTCCTGCTCAGTCCTCCTCAGAACTGTTACGTCCACCAAAAAACCGGAGTCTGAGATGCTGTCCCAGTCCAGAGGAGGCAGAGGAGACAGGACAGCTGAGTGAACGTAGGTCCTGGAGGGACAGGGCCCTGCGCAGGAGGAGGATGAGAAGGGACCCGCATGCTGGGGAGGGAAGTCTGAACACCCACGGCGGCCGCTGTCGCCGCTCGGCGCTGGTGTCGGAGACCCGGAGACCTGCTGCTACATCCCACTCTCCACGCCCCCCGCCTCCTCAAACGAGATGGCTTGGGGTTTCGTTACAGGCACCAAAAAGAAACCCCGGTCCAGCCGGAGATGCGCCGAGCAGACGCCTCAACTCCCCTCGCCCAGGCATGCAGCCCACCCTCAGCACTGGCCGAGCAGGGACGGGGACCCTCCCCTGTGACGCCGTGAGCCAGGCCTGCGTGAGCTCAGGGTAGTGAACCTGACAGGCCCCAGGGAGCACCAGCAGCCTCTTCATGGTTGGTCAGGTCACCACCAAGTGAACTCAGGCTGCGAAAGGATCCCTGAACCATGCCATCTGGGGAGAGGTGCAAAGGGATGCCAGCTGGCACCGTGCCTCTGTCCCACCAGCTCACCTGTGCTCCGCCCAAAAACCTGGATCCTCAGGGCCCTCCTGCCTGGCCCTCAGCCCAGGGCCCTGGCACAGCCAGGCCAGTCCTCACACCTTCCCTACCTGCACCTGCACCCCTGGGCCCCAGCCCTGCCCAACCTCCTTGCTCACCAGCTCTGCCACCTGCCCCTCTGCACTGGCCCTGGAGCACCAGGCCCTGCGGGAAGGTGAGCCTGTGGCCAGGCCCTGTGGCAGGGGCTGCCTTCGTATGCCCGGGTCCCACAGGTCCCAGGAGGCCCAGGGTGTTCTCTCACCTGCACCCTGGCTCCCTGCCCAGCACCCCGGCTGGCCTGAAGGACTCACGGGCATGTCCTGACCCTGCTCTGCCTCCAGGAGTGAGGCCAGCGCTGAGTGCACATGGGCTCCAGGGCCACACCGCAGGGCACCCCGGCCGTGCCACAAGGAGTAAGGCTCCCGTGCAGGACCTGGCTCCTTGTGGGTGAGTGGTCAGGTTGACTCATCTTATATCCCTTACACAAGGCTCCCGAGACTCGAGGATGGGGTCGGGGGAGAAAGCTCGGCACTAGGCACAGAGGCAGCGAGAGAGCCTCGGGGACTTGGCAGGGCGGGGGCAGTGATGGCCAAGGATGGGCCACTGACAGCACAGCTCTGCTCTCGAACAGGCCAGCAAAACAAGCCAACCCCACACACCCCCAGCCCGCGTATGACACACTGCCCACCCGTGTGTGACAGGGACCCCAGACACACAGGGTAGAGGGCGTGTCAGGAGGAGCCCAGAGCACCCTGTACCAGCTCTCCAGCTGCCCGTGGCCTCACTCCTCAGCCAGGCCTCGTCCAACTGGTGCTGCAGCCTGCAGAGGCTGCCCGTGGCCGGCATCTGCCCCTCAGCATGGAGGACACTGACCACCGCAGTGGGGGAGGGCTCCTCCTCCAGACTGTCCTAGGCACAGCCACGCAGCCCACTCTGGCCCTCTGAGTCCTCACTGGACCCAGGGCCTTCAAGAAGCCGCTCCAGGTTGCCAGCACAGGCCTCAGTGCAAACACAGCAGGCTGGAAGTGGCGCTGATCACCGGCACGCCCTCCCAGCCCGGCAGGTCCTGACGCAGGATGTGGCGCCCCCCGCTGCGCAAAGCCAGGCCAGGAACACACGGGCAAGCGTACGCAGCGGCCCCCAGCCTGGGCACACGCGGCACCTACTTGGAGAAGATGACCATCAGCTTCCTCCGGCTCCGCCGCGGCTCCACGTCCTCATCAAAGCCCCCCAGGTCCTTGCCTAGGAAGACCTCCTGGTGGAAGCCCCGATTGAGGTGCCCGTCCATCTCCAGCTTCACCCCGTTCAGGTGGTCCGGGGGCAGGATCTCGTTCTCCTCCCTGTTGGCCGCTCTCTCTCGAGTGGACGAGTGGTTGGCAGGCCGTGCTGACGCATCCATCAGGAGTACCGCCCCCAGGAGCCAGAGGCAGCGCGGAGCCAGGCCGACGAGGGGACCCCACCTGGACGCCATCGCCACCCAGGACCAGACCATGGGGTGGGCTGCAGGGTGTGGGCCAGGTGCTGGGAGGGGCAGGGACAGGGGCAGAGGAGGAAGTGAGGTCCTGGCTCCAATCCAAGCCCCAGGCACCACGGAGGGCTCTGTGTCCCCAGGACGGCTACAGGCTGGGACGAGCGGCTCACGGCTGCAGAGACACAGACACGTCATTAGTGAGACTAGCAAAGACTTCCCCAAGCACATCTATCCTGCAACATGAAACACATCCTCAATTCACAGGATCCAGACCACACGTGGCACTGTTTTCTCCAGACGACACGTGGCACTGTTTTCCCCAGATCACACGTGGTGTTTTTTCTTTATTTTTAGAAACAGGGTCTTGCTCTGTCACCCAGGCTGGAGTGCAGTGGCGACCACGGCTCACCGCAACCACGAACTCCTGGGCTCAGGGGATGCTCTCGCCTCAGCCACCCGAGCAGCTGCAACCATAGGCGCGCACCACCATGCCGGGCTAATTTATTTTTATTTTATCTTTTGCAGAGACAGGTCTTGCTGTATTGCCCAGGCTGGTCTCAAACTCCTGGCTTCAAGCGATCCTCTTGCCTCAGTCTCCCAAGGTGCTGGGATTACAGCCATGAGTCACTGTGCCTAGTCTTTTTTCCCTATTTTACAGACACTGGGTTTTCAGCCCTGTCTCTCCATCTTTCCAGCTCTCTCCTGAACCGTCAACACCTCCAGGGGCTAACCTGTCCCCACCGCCCAACACCTACAGCACAGCCTTCCTGTGGGGCCTGGCTCTGTCCCTCCTGGCATCATGCCACTGACCCATGGGGTTATGGTCACTCTCCAGACCCTGACTTGAACATTCTTGAGATCTATGACCTTGGCTAAGTCATGTGGTCTCCCAGGCCTCAGCTTCTCACTAAGAAACAGGAGGCTCTCCCTGCTCCCCCCACCAGGCTTTGCGAAGACAGCCAACCCTAAGGGCAGAGGGTGTCAGGGCCTGGTCCCAGCAAACACAGCCCCCACACACAGAGGTGCACACACACATCCACACTCATGCATGCACATATTACACGTGCCCTTGCCCACACTCGTAAGCGAACGCCAAGGCTGGGGAGCCCAGAAGCCTGTCTTGGCGTCCGAGGCACGGCCAGTCCTGGTGGGAAGCAGGGGCTCACAGGGCCTCATGCCTCACGTATCCCAAAGGAAACTCGGGGTCCTTCCCACCCACGAGCTTGCTACTTTCACAGTCGGCTCCTCCGGCAAACACCTGCGGGTCCTTCCCGGTGCCGCTGAGGCCCCCCCGACCCGTGTTGCAGCCGTTCCCTGAACACACATGGACTGAGGCTCCTGTGGCCGTCTTACTCAGCTTCACTGTCCTGGCACCTGCCACTCTGCACACAGTAGGCGCTCAACGAATGCTACCTTGTGTAATATTAGACAGAGAAATGCTGCCTCCAGGTACCGAGAAACACCAGTGGGGCCGCCATGAAAGCGGCCCTGAAGTCAGTGCAGTCTCTGCCACAAACCAACAGGGGTACAAGCCTGGGGTCACCCAAGGAAGGAAGCCCCGGGTGAGGGGTCATGTCTGGTTTTTTTGTTTTTTTTTTTTTTGAGAGAGAGTCTCACTCTGTCGCCCAGGCTGGAATGCAGTGGTGCAGTCTCGGCTCACTGCAACCTCCGCCTCCCAGGTTCAAGTGATTCTCCTGCCTCGGCCTCCCAGTTAGCTGGGATTACAGGCGCCTGCCACCACGCTCCATTAATTTCTGTATTTTTAGTAGAGATAGGGTTTCACCATGTTGGCCAGGCTGGCCTCGAACTCCTGACCTCAAGTGATTCTCCTGCCTTGGCCTCCCAAAGTGTTGGGACTACAGGCGTGAGCCACGCACCCGGCCTGATTTTCTGAACATGGCTGAGGGCTTTTCCCTTCCCTAGTGGTGGTATAATTCTGTTCCTGTTGTCCCAGCTCGCCTGACCAGGGGAGTGTCCTGGTTAAGAACCAAGACACCTCCTCCTGGTGCTGACTCCACTAACTACAGTCGTAAAACACATTCTGTGGCAAGCAAAGAGAGTGTACTTTGTTCCTAGAGAGGACAAGGCTAGTTCTTGATTCTACTTATCTTGATGAGTTACACGGTATACTTGAGGCAGGAGGACGGTGAGACCAGCCTGGGCAACGCTGTGAGACTGTGTCTCTTTAAAACACAAAAACAAGGCCGGGCGCGGTGGCTCACGCCTGTAATC